CTCTAAATTATGGAGTCTCCTTTGCTGGTGGAAGAGTCTTCTCATCCCCATAATAATTTAATTCGATCATACTTAATTTCATTATACACATAGCTTTGATAGTTGTGGTAAATAATACTAAATATGAGACATGTATGCATATACTGCCCTTAAAGAGCTGAATCTTCTTCGGAGGATAAGAAATACATACTTGGAAAAGTAATTAGAATAAAAAGCATGATATGAGTATCAGGACTTAGGATGTAAATAAGAATGATTGGGAATAACATACTTGAGTTGGCCCTTTAAATAGATTTAAAATGAAAGGATTTGAGAACTGAAAACAGTTAACATAATATCTAATGTAATTCCATTTAATAACTGAGAAAACAACACAGAGAAACTGACTTGTCCCAATTATGATAGCAGCTTACTGGGAACAGAACTCTGGTCTCCTGATTCCTGACTCTTTGCTGTTTCCTTTGCAACCACTGCCTTTGTGACTGCTAAAAAAAAAAGGAGAGAAAGAGAGGTGAGCAAAGAAGGCCCTGTATAAGCACTAGGAGAAATATACATCCTTGTCTTACATACATATGGATGATGATATCATCCATATCATCAGCATCCTTCACTGCTGATATGTGAATACTCAGTGAGTAGACTGGTGAAGGGCTCCTATTATGAAGTATCAAAAAGTAAGACTAGAATGGAATGAGCACCTTGGGATGAAAAGATAAGATTAAACCAAACAGAATATTAACAGTCTCAGTCTAGGTATTTTAGATGTTAAATAAGAAATAAAAGTAAGTGCTATATAAATTTCAAAATGGGTCAGATTCCAAAGGCTGAAAGTAATCAGGGCTGGCTTAGTGGAAGGGATAAATTGGAGATGAACATTCAAGAGGTATAGGATTTGAGAGAAGAGGATAATTTAGATAAAGTAAGGAAATCCTAGGACCTGGAAAGTCAGGCTGAAAAGGCATGATGGCTCAAGATGGTGCAGAGTCCCAGGAAGGCTGACTGTACTCTGACAGAGACCACTGCAGGTGCTTAAGCAGAATAACCTGGTTAACGTTTTAGACTCATATGGCAATGACATACAGGATGGACTGAGCCAAGAGAATAAAAGGGAAGGCCAAGAGCTATTTTTCTAATAAGAATAATATGGAATTTTATAGACTAAAGAATACTATACAATGTTTATATACAGGGAGCTGTTATTGCATAGACACTATGCTAGCTTTTCTCATTTGATTCTCCCAAAACCATATGAAGGAAGTCAAATTATCATCTCCATTTTTAAAATGAGAAAACAGAATCTACATAACCTGCCTAGGTCACAAATCCAGGGAGTGGAGGAGTCAGAATTTGAGCCCAGATAACATGACCCCACAGCTTACAGTCTTAGCTTCTATGCCATATCCTTCAGTATTATTAAATGTCTCTGAAAGAATCCAAGAAGAAAATAATTAGGCCTGAACTAGTGACTAGTAGCGAAAAGAAAATGTAAGGAAGAGCTGAGACTTTACAAGGAAACAAAATGACAGAACTTAGTATTTAAGAGATAGATGGGGATAAGAAAGAATGAAAAATGATCATCCCATCAGGAGTGAAAATACAAGGAAATGATAACACCATTCACCCTTGGAAATCACACGGGTGAATAAAGAGGGGAAAGACGAGTAGTGTTTCAGATATGTTGCATTTGGAAAGATGAAAAGATATCCATGTAGAAATTAGAGTATGCATTTTAGAAACTCAGGAGAGAGGAAGGATTGAAATTGTAGGTTTTTGAAATTATCTCACATAAAATGAATAGAGGAAGCAACAAAATTATTTAAGCTCTTTAAGGGGGTGGGGGGGGGGGAAGAACCCCTCTCTGGGGACCAGCAACATTGAAAGGCAGGAGAGCGGCAGGAGCAGAAACAGGATAGGGCAGCCTCCCAGAGTTCAACAGATGGGACTTTCAAGAAGAGAGCAGCTGCCTTCTAATTCACTCTCTCTTCTCTCCTGGAAGATCTCATTCTCACTTATTCCTTACACTATTATCCACACACATGCAAGTAAGAAGTAAGAGAGGGCTACAGTTGAAGGAGTTTGAATATGTCAACAAAGGGCTGAGGTAAGCAGAGATATCACAAAGGAGTGATTAACTTAAGCATGAGTATGTAACTAGTTGAAAGCAATATTTGAATGTACAAAGACACAGATGGGTTAATTAAACCAGTTAGGCAGAATCAGGGAAAGCATCTGGAAAAGGGCTGTGTTACCACCAAAAGGTAAGGAAGCTATGTTAATCTACATCACTTAAACACAATCAGCAAAATTCAGATTATGTGAAACACCACAGGACCAACAACCAGGCTCCTTCAAACGAAATGCAAGGGAGAAATATGGAGGTGGAACGTGTAGAATGAGAGAAGCTTGAACCAATCACAACTATCAACCAATCACAGTGTGAACTGGATAGGATCCTAGGTTAAAGCAGCACAGTAAAGGAGAAAAAAAAAAAAAAAACCTATGCACAAGTAGAAACTAAGGAAATACATTAAATATTTTAGATATGATAAGATTGTGGTTATGCTTTTTAAAAGTCCTTTATGTTTTTAGAAATCATACTGATATATTTATAGATTTTTGATGCTTGATATGTGCTTCAAATAAATACAGGAGTTATGTGGATAGTGATACAGAAGTAATGAGATTGCTATTCAGTCTCTCAGCTGTGTCCAACTCCTTGCGACCCTATGGACTGCAGCATGCCAGACTTCCCTGTCCTTCACCATTTCCAGGAGCTTGCTCAAACTCATGTCCATTGAGTCGTGAGGCCATTCAACCATCTCATCCCCAGTCATCCCCTTCTCCTGCCTTCAATCTTTCCCAGCATCAGGGTCTTTTCCAGTGAGTCAGCTCTTCGCATCAGGTGGCCAAAGTACTGGAGCTTCAGCTTCAGCATCAGTTCTTCCAATGAATATTCAGAACTGATTTCCTTTAGGATTGACTGGTTTGATCTTTTGCAGTCCAAAGGACTCTCGAGTCTTCTCCAACACCACTGTTCAAAAGCATCAATTCTTCAGTGCTCAGCCTTCTTTATGGTCCTACTATCACACCCATATGTAAAGAGATTGGCCAGAAGTTAATAATTGCTGGAGCTGGGCATTGAGTTCATGTAGCTTCATTTTTTCCATATGTTTGAAATTTTCCTCACTACATTTTTTTTGAAGATGCAGTTTGCTTTGCAAGAATAGGATTTTCTTCCATTTACTGCACTTTAGATGACCCTGGTTAAGTTTTCTTGACCTGGGTTATGGATTTTAAGGAATCATGGGGATTATCAAATCAGATCTAGCCAAAGCTAGAAAATGAAGTGGTCCATCAAAAAACAAGGACTTAGAACACAAGGTTCCACCTGAAATGTGACAGGAGATAGATGCTTCAAGTTATTAAAGGGTTTCAAAGATAAAATTCTAACAAAAAGGACAAGAAATTAATAAGGGATGTGTGTAAGGAGTTTGTTGAATGAGCAAAGCAATAGTTAAGAAAAATGATTCTGTCCACTCTTGTTTCTAAGACAAAGTAGAGATTCAATGCCAATGAAAAAGACATGCAGGGATGAGATGACCAAACCACAAAATGGGATATTTGTTCATGAGAAAAGAATGTGCGCTAAAGGCGTGTTAAGACACTGGAGATCTAGGGGTAGGGTCATTCAAACCTTTGCAAAACGACTTCTGCCATCTTCTCCTCTGTTTATTCCTTTTTCCTCAACAATCCAAAGTGCACAGGTCCTAGGAAGAAGGTGGTAAGAGTAAGGGATAACTGAAGCTTGGAGGAAAAGGTTAAAGATCATTTCCTCCCTCTCACTCAATCCTGAATTTAACAAATCGTGTAAATTAAATGTCACCTTCCTATTTGCATGAGGTGGGGTATAGAACGCTCAGGACTTGGAAGGACAAGTTGCTTTACACAGGTTGCAGGGAGGTGACTGGGATCTTGGGCTGTGAAGACCTCTACCCTTCTTCTCTTCTAGGCCTCACCCTCAAGAATTCCCAAAGCCCTAGAACGTTTTTTCCAGGTATGTAAACAAAACAGCACTTAAGGGTTAAGATTGGGAAGGGAGTAGAAGGGAGCATTTGAGCTTAAGCGAGGGCTGCTTCTAGCAAGGAAGTCGGGGTGGCGGAATCAGTTTGAGAGTCACGTTGGCAAGCGCTGGAGACTCACAATGGGTCAAATCAGAGAGCCTAACAAGCCAGGGAAAGGACTGCGCTTTATACGGGTCTTTATGCGGAAACTGCGCTTGTCAGACTCCGGGGAGACTGGTGCGGAGCCGGGTGGAGTGGGGAGGAGGGGGCGGTGGAAGAGTCGGAATCGGGGGAGAGGGCTTCAAAAGAGGGAAGAGATTGATTCCCCTGAGGTAGACGGAACGTTTAGAACGCCTCTCCCAAAATCCAGCTATCTCGCTGTTCGGTAACCTGGAGAGTTAACCGAGCCTCAGAAGTCCGCCCCTCCCCTTCGGGTCACCTGCTGGCGACGCCGCGGCGGTTCCGGGTTACGCGCTCGAGCTTGGCGGCGTGCGGCCCTCGCCGAATCCGAGCCGCCAGTCCCAGGCCTCCTCCCGCCCGTGGGGGAGGGCCAAGAGAAGATACGCACCAATCGGGATGGAGACTTTGAAGACGTTAACTACAGGCCAATAAGAAGAGGGAAGGCGTGGCCTGGGGGCGGGACGGTTGGCTCTTCGTGTTTAAACCTGGGCGGCCGGGCCGTTAACGGCAGTTTGGACGCGTTTGCGAGCTGTACGCGTGTGTGGTCTCCGGGAAGCGAACTGAAACCTGCGGTGGTGCGATAGCCGAGCCGCGGGACTCGGTGCGGCCGACGGACATCGGCTGGGCAGGTAAGCGGGCAAAGAAGGGGAGAAGTGGTACACGGGCCCCTCCCGCCCGCCCACGGCTGTAGAGATGGGGCTCTGAGTAGCGAGGAGTTGGAGTCTCCCTCCTCTGGTTGCCGTTCCCCCGGGCGCTCAGTGCAGAGTCCAAGTGTGCGTCCTCCGGGGGCACGTGTGAGCGGCGCCGTGCGTGCCCCCGGCGCGCCCGAACCCCGAGGTCACGTTATGCTCCCACTGCCGGTCCACTGCCCGCCGGGCGGCTGCCGCGGGGAGGACCCCAGTGGTCCGTCCACCCGGCTCTGCGAGGCGACTGGGTTTTGGGGCGGCGGGAGCCGTGCTCGCGGAGGAGTCAGCTTCGTCGGAGGCTGGCCCCGAGCGCGCGAGACGGTGACCACGCCCCGGGCCAGCTGGTGCAGACTCTGTGTTGTCATTGTGAAGGGAGAAACCTCTTCTCCCCTTCTAGTTGGTTTCACCTTTGTCAAATTCTGTTACAGTGCGAGAAACTCTTTGCCTACTGAGTTAGGATAGCGTGTAGAATTGAAGAACCTTTTAGTCTTGCCCCAGAATGAAAAACAACAACAACTTTTTTCCCCTGGTTATAAAAGTTATACAGTCTCATTATTTTTAGAAATCCAAGCACTGGTAAATACATACTAAAAAAGGAAGAAAATACTCGCGATTCTTATCAGCCACAGATAAAAAATCTGTTCATATTTGGGTTTACTTCAGATATTTAGACTGTAAAGTGTATTTATTTTGAATATAACAAAGCATTTTCATTTAAAAAGCAGATCATGCCTCAGTCCCTAGTATTTCAGGAATAAGACATTTGATCCATATCAAATGTAGACATTCATTATCAGTTTTCATGGGGGCAGAATATTTCTTGCTGTGGCTCTACTATGCCATATTATTTAACCTGTCCCCTAATGGATGGACATTTGTTTTTCTAATTTCTTCATCATCAGAAAACAGTATGGTCGTGGTTACTTGCAGACGTATATGTTTGCATTCTTGTCCAGTTTGTCTCCTTAGAATAATTTCTTGGAAATGGATGGTGGCTTCCAAAAAATGGTACAGTTTAAATTCCGATTCAGGGTGGGAGGGAGGCTAAACAGGGAGGGGATACACACTTATGGCTGATTCCAATACAGCATGGCAGAAACCAATACAGCATTGTAAAACAATTAGAAATAAATTCTGGTTCATAATGCCAGAGTGCCCTCTAGAAAAACTTGTGGGTTCCCCCTCCCCCACCCCCCTCAGCAGTACAGAGTGTAAGAGTAGATATTTGTCCACACTCTGCCCTGCATTAAAAAATCTTACCAATCTAAAAGGATAACTTAATGTTTTTATTTGCATTAATAATGAGATGGAACTTTTTATGTTTGTTAGTCATGATTTCTTTGATAAATCGTCTCCTTTGTCTATTCTGCCAGTGTTTGTTGCTTTTAATATCTTTCTAAGAGGAATGTGAATTAGTGATTTTCAACCTGTTATATAATTTCCACTAGTCTGTTTCTTTGGATTATGGTTATCTTTTTTTAGGGTATTTTGTTTTCTTTTGTTCTAATATTGCCATGCTTGAAGCTACACACTTCACTTCCAAGAAGTAGAGGAATTTGTTCTAACTCAGCAAAGTTTAGAATCTTAACTAGTGACCCAGCCCCTCTTCCAATTTTAAACCCTTCCCTTCCATTCTTGAAATCCTTTCATTTGTAACTAACTCAACTTGAGCACTTAATGGCTTCAGGTTTTGACAAGATACTGCTGGATATTTTGGTACAGATAATATCTGTATTTATCTACAAAATATAAGCTGTTCTAGCATCTGTGTGAAAGTTTCCCTATAGGTAAGGAGAAAGGATTATCAGTTCTTTATATTAAAAAAGAAAGAGAAAAAACTGACAGCTACTTAAGGACGGATCTTGCTAAATTGTATATTTTATTATTTGCAAACACCTGTCTTCATACACTCAAGAAAAAGTGTGCAATAATTTGACTGGAAAGAAAACATGCTAATCATAGTATAGTACACATGCCATTAAAAAAAAAAAAATCACTTTGGGTTTTAGTGTTGGAAATCCACCCAGCCCAGTGTCCTGTTCCATTTCTGTCCCTACTTTCCTCTGTTCTGTGTTTATCTCTTCAGTAGGTAGTTGTGTATTGCATGAACGTTGAAATGGATGGTGTAATAGTTCTCGCAAAGCACCATTTTATTTATATATGTAACATATACTTACATGTTATATATATAATAATCTTGTTTAAACTTCACAACCTATTGAAATAATTGTTTTGCAAAGTAAAAGCTAAGCCCTGCTTTACTACTTACATTCATTTAGTCCTTACCATGGGTCAGACTTTGGAGTTTGTACATTGTATTATACAATACAGATAATTCTGCAAAGTTACATTTGGGGACTTCTGATTTGCTTCATCTGTGATGATTGTCCTGAGTTTTTCTTTTTTTTTGTCCTGAGTTTTTCTATGGCAACTACCAGAAATAATGTCACTAAATCCTTATTCTCGTAGATTTGATAATACATCTATGTTAACCTTGAAAGGATTTCAGTTAAGATCAAAGACCCTGATCCTCTCTTTTGCTTCTACTATAGACTCTCCTAAGCATGGCTTTTTAGTTAGTTGCTTTTCACTCATGTATCATTTTTTAGAGTTGATTTTTTTGATTCCCTAAACTCTCTTCTTTTCCTAGGTTTTTTTTTTTTGTTTTTTTCAATTGAAAACTAACGCCAGTGAAACTACATTGAGATAAGGTGGAAAGTTAAAAAAAGTAAAATGCTTTGGTTTCTTATATGTTTAAGTGGGAATATTTTGCTACACTCCATGATGATGCTAAAAACAGAAGGATCTTTACCTCAAAATTAAAGACCATTTGTGGCTCATATAGCACTATTAATAGATGGATAAGCTTTCTAAAAGATGCTGTGTTTTATCTACTTAGGTCATTTTCACTAAACCAGTTTATCAAATATGTTTTATGTTTTTAAGTTTTGACATTTGGGCAAAGCTCTTTTATGAGAAGTCAGATGAGTAGTGTTATTTGCTTTTAAAAAGAAAAGCACAACAAATCAGATACATGTGGGTTCTGGTTTTAATAAATTTGAACACAAGGCACAGGTTTCCAGGTGTATGTAAATACATGTCCATTTAAAAATTTCTTCTTGCTTGTCCCATCTCTAGTTCTCCTGGACAGGAAAGAAGGAATGTTTAAACTTCTTGTTCCAGAAAGACTTCTTGGTGGCGGTCCTCTCCCAACTCAAGCTGTGGCTGCCTCCAGACGCTCTCAAGATGGCGATCTCTCTGTGTTCCAACACCTACAACAGGCAGAATTGGGAGGATGCGGACTTCCCCATTCTGTGCCAGACGTGTCTTGGAGAAAACCCATATATCCGAATGACCAAAGAAAAGTATGGGAAGGAATGCAAAATCTGTGCCAGGCCATTCACAGTGTTTCGCTGGTGCCCTGGGGTCCGCATGCGTTTCAAGAAGACTGAAGTGTGCCAGACCTGCAGTAAATTGAAGAATGTCTGTCAGACCTGCCTCTTAGACCTAGAGTATGGCCTGCCCATCCAGGTTCGTGATGCAGGATTGTCTTTTAAGGATGACATGCCAAAGTCCGATGTCAACAAAGAGTACTACACGCAGAATATGGAGAGAGAGATTTCCAACTCTGATGGAACGCGGCCAGTTGGCATGTTGGGGAAAGCCACATCCACCAGTGACATGCTGCTCAAACTGGCCCGGACCACACCCTACTACAAAAGGAATCGACCGCACATTTGCTCCTTCTGGGTGAAAGGAGAATGTAAGAGAGGAGAGGAGTGTCCATACAGACATGAAAAACCAACAGATCCAGATGACCCCCTTGCTGATCAGAATATTAAAGACCGATATTATGGAATCAATGACCCTGTGGCAGATAAACTCTTGAAGCGGGCTTCAACAATGCCACGTCTGGACCCACCAGAGGACAAGACTATCACCACACTGTATGTTGGTGGTCTGGGCAATACCATTACTGAGACCGATCTAAGGAATCACTTCTACCAGTTTGGAGAGATCCGGACCATCACTGTTGTGCAAAGACAGCAGTGTGCTTTCATCCAGTTTGCCACAAGGCAGGCTGCAGAAGTGGCTGCCGAGAAGTCCTTTAATAAGTTGATTGTCAATGGCTGCAGGCTCAACGTGAAATGGGGGAGGTCCCAGGCAGCCAGAGGGAAAGAAAAGGAGAAGGATGGAACCACAGACTCTACAATCAAGCTTGAGCCCGTTCCAGGGCTTCCAGGAGCTCTTCCTCCTCCTCCTGCAGCAGAAGAAGCAGCCTCTGCCAACTACTTCAACCTACCGCCAGGTGGTCCTCCAGCCGTGGTGAACATTGCCCTGCCACCCCCACCTGGTATTGCCCCGCCCACACCCCCAGGTTTTGGGCCACACATGTTCCACCCCATGGGACCACCCTCTCCTTTCATGAGAGCTCCAGGACCAATCCACTATCCTTCTCAGGACCCTCAGAGGATGGGAGCACATGCCGGGAAACACAGCAGCCCCTAGCACTCATCACCACTCTGGGGCTCTACGGAAGACAGGGCGCTTAAAAACCCTAGTAAATGAATCCTGGAATAAATATATTTTTCCTTCCTTTGTACTTTCCATGGTAGTGGAATGTATTCAGATGTGGGCAGTTGGAGGACAGCCATGATTTTCTCTATGTGTTCTCAAAGGATTGAGTGACCTGAAATAAGCTGCCATTAACACATATGGTTATTGCTATAACATTACTAATAAAACTTAATGCTTCTTCCCCTCTTATGTATGGGGAACAAGCAACTGGGTGAATTGGAATGTCCAACGGAGTTACCATCCCAACCATATGTTCATTTTGTATCTTCTTTTGGCGGGTGGGGGGGGGGTGGGAAATGACCTGCAGTAAGAAAAACAAGCAAACAGTTTTTGACCTTTTTTATGTCCATTTGATGTTTTCCTTTTTATCATCTAAGAAAAAGATTACTAGTACTAATCATTGTAGTGACAAGAGTGTGATTTAATGCTTCTAAAGTCACACTCTTGAAAGACAAGTAGAAACAGCACCCAGCACAACCCAGATCTTCTCTCTCCTTTCCTGATTTATTAAAGAACCTGGCTGATTCCAAAAAAGACAAAAATTACTTTTTATTCCTGTCAATCAAATGGAGACACAGATTTCATGGAGCTGTGTATCATTGAAGAAACCTGGTATTTGAGATGAAATTATTTTAAAAAACTTCCTGTAAAACACTTTAACAAACTGTGAAAGGAAAAGAATTAAGAGTGTGTTTGAATGGAAGACTTGTGGCCTACAGCTGGAAAGTCAGTCTTCAGCATTCACCTTTGTGTGACTTCAGCGTCTCATTTTAATTTCCTGCTCAGGGCCCGGGATTCTGTTTGGTCTTACAGTATTTGGAAATAACTGAATTGTAGATGGAAAAAAAAAACTGTTGTCTTGTATTTTGGTTTTGAAAAATAAAAACAGGTCAATTTTCAAAAAAAAACTTCTTTAGGCTAATGGTGCTTTGTTGCCTCCTAGATCTTGGTGAGTTTTCTGTGGTTAAATGATGCTTTTAAGTTCTGCATCAACACAAATCCTCTTCGTTGGTTCCTCAAAAACAGTATCTTCTTCCTCTCGTGTGTCACTACAGTCCCTTTTGGCTTTTGTTTCTTCCTCATGGGATAAATGTGGGTGTTCAATGCGTCCCCTCCGTACAAAATGCTGGATCCGGGATTCTAATCCTTGGCATTTAGGACGATCCATTAGGGGCTTATAAGTGCGCATTTTCACTCCTTCTACAAAGGCACTGGTCTGCTTCGTGACAGAGGGCTTAACATTTCTCCATTCTATCGTTCCATCCATCTTTGGTCCTGTAATATATACAGTCAAGCATTATAGTGGATACTTTACAACAGAATCCCTTCCAAACCCTGTGACTCTCCCTCCCCCACAACCCTGTATAACTTTGGTTCCCATCATACCTGTTCCACAGGGCAGCGCAACAGAGTCCAGGCCTTGCAGCATACTGTACAGCATCTGAGTCTTCACAGCATGACTAGCCCACAGTTGCTGAAGGTGGGTGACGTTGAACTCCTGAGCTTCCCGGTCATAGATCCACTTGATCGTTTCAAACTTACAGTCATACAGCACTAAAGGGAATTCTACAGCCATGCTAGACAAGAAACAGGATGAGAATACACAGCAGCCATCCAGCAGGCCTTAAAAACCAGGATCAGCTGGCTTAGGAGCAGGGGCGAAACTGTCAACATGGAGTATCTAATAGTTGAGAAGGTATGACACCATCCCTCATGTGGAACAACTTTGTAACTAAAAAGAAAAACGCAGCAAACCATGGATCACTTAGTTAGGCTTGATCTACATTACAGAAAATTTCAATTGTAACAAGTCACCTAGAAGTGAGTTGACTTGGCCCCACCATAATGCTGTGAAACTATCTAAGGGGCCTGGTCCAGACACCTGTTACTTACTAAAGGGACAGAACAATGACAGAAGAAAATGAAAAGGTAATCACTGTTACATGTTCATAACATTCTACAAGTAAGAGTAAAAGCCTCATGAAGGGAGAATCAGAAACTTAGTTTTTTAGACAATGGTGGGGAGAGGAAGAATATTTTAAAATATATTCTAATGTATCTAAGGGCAATAGATTTTTTTTTGGGGGGGGACAGTCTGGGTTTGTGTTTTTAACTTACCTATATTGAGGCTTCTGGGGATTTTTCTCTATGTTCAGCAGCTCATCAATAACCTCTGGCTTCTCCATTCCTTGGCCAATCAGAAAAAGAATAGCCATCATACAGCGGACTTGATGATAAAGGAACGCCTGACCAGTCACTTCAAACTGGCATAACTGAAAGGGTTCTTGCCATCCCTCCTCGGCCAGGTTCTGGCCCACTCGCTGTACTTGAGCAGACAGGATGGTCCTCTGAAAATTAATCACCCCATTGGCTACGTCCATTTTACATAAGTTCCTAAAATCATGTGTGCCAACATACTTCTGAGCTGCATAGTTCATGGTTACAATGTCTAAGTTAGCACAAGGGAAAAAATAGCGGTAGGTCCGCTCAAGACAGCTGAACCTAGCACTGAAGCTAGTTTCTACGGGAGCCCAGGCCAGCACGCGGATGTCTGGAGGGAGTACCCGGTTGAGAATGTGGGTATAACGGATCTCTGTAGCCACATCATTGACTTCGTCTTTTAAGTTAAGATCCTCAGAATCCCCGCCCTTTGGAAAGTGAGAACGTAGGTCAAGAGAGATCACCTGTGGAATTAAGAGAAAGGTATTTAGAGATACAAATAATCTGAATCCTCAGTATGTACACCTAGAATGTATTAGGATTGCTTGCTTTGCGAAACAGGACAATGGCCCTTACCTGTCCAAAGGCACTAACTCCTTTGTCTGTTCGCCCACACCGGTGATAGTTGGATGTCTGCCTGTTTTCTACCAGTCGAGTCTTGGTTAGCGCCTCAAACAGTTTCTCTTCAATTGTATTGCTTGTGTTTTCCTGACTGGCAAAGCCCTGATATCCCCAGCCCAGATAGGCAATCTTTAGAGCTACATGTCTTTGACCGTGAGCACTGAAATCAAAGGCGCGCTTAGCTTTCCCCCCAGCTCCTGAAGAATTCTCTCGGCTCTTTGAGTCCTTGTTCGTGGCCTGTTCTTTTTTAAGTCGCTTTACCTGCTGCTCCAGTTCCTGTACTCTCTTCAGGAGTTTCTCAGTCTGGATTCTGTCTGCGTCATTTTCAGCCATGATATGACAACCTCGGGAATAAATACAAAGAGATCCACCCTATCTGAAAAGAGTAAAGAGACACAATTTTAGTGCTGATTCCCTTGGTGATGTCGGTATCTATCATTCCATTCCATTCAGAGTATCTAAGATTTAATTTGAGGCCTAAAGGATATATAGACGTTGGATTCTGCCCAGGGATACAAGCATTACCTTCATTATTATGGGTCAATCATCTAGATATTATTCTTTTCCATCATGTCTGGTCAATCCACAGTGAAAAAGGAAGGTAGCATCAAAAAAAAAAAAAAATCCAGCTAGCATTGTTAAGATTTAAGTAGTCAGAATTTAGGGGAAATGTAGATTTCAATTCTCTATTCTTCATGAGCCGAGATGGTGGAGGATTGATGTTATTGATAATTTTCCCCTAAAACATTTCCTTTTGATGTCTCATTATATTTGTGCTATCTTCCAATCATAAAATCTTTTTATATGGAGTATTTATGTCTGTGCCAAGTTTCTGCTGCTTTCTAATATTGCAGATAAAATTAGTGCTTGTGGTGGGTGGTGCGTTCTGTCATCTGAAACAGTTCTGTCTTAAAGGTGGTGCAATAGAAGCTGGCCCAGTGGAAGAAACTTGTCAGTGATTGTACTTCATATTGGAAGTAGAATCTGGAATCAAGATTTTACCCCTTTAAGCAGCTTGATGGCACAAAGAAGGTAATTAAGCATTAAGATCTTTTTAAGTCAAATTTAATGCATGTTCTGATAAGAGATTTCTGTACCTCTAGTAGCTAAAATTGTCATGATGGAAAATAAAGTCACTCTGGATAATATAATTTAGATATCTGTTGAAATTCCTGATGTATTGCAATAATCTGAGGACAACTGTACTACATCTGTAAACTGGGACAGTACTAGACAATCTTTGATGGTTACTTTTCGTCTAGGTAACTCATTTAGTTTTTTGCTCTTTGAGTTTCTATATCTATGACAGATTACAAATTTAAATGTAAAAAACAAAACTATACAAGTATTAGGAGAAAACATGACATAACCGTCTTACAATCTTGAAGTAGGAAAGGCATAAGTAAGGAGCTGCAGAAACCCAAAAAAATGCGACCACCTAAGAATATGTTTCTAACAGCAAAAAGTCAGAAGTTAGATAACAAACTGGAAGAAAAATGTAATGATGGTATGTCATTACTATATATGGTATTTCATATATAGTCAGCTTTCATATAAAGATCAATAAGGAAAAAACCAGCAACCTGAGAGGTAAACGGAAACAAGCATATTTCATACACAGGGAAAAAAATCTTAGGGCAACAGCTATCAAAATTGAGTGCACACATGCCGTTGACCCACCTATTCCATTTCTAGAAATTGAATGTACACATATGCTTGCACAAGTATGTAAAACTTAAGATATTAGTTATAAGACTCGTTGTTAAGAACAGAAAGAAAATCACTAAATTAAATCGCTCAGGAACACGCTGAATAAATTGTGGTACGTCCATACCTTGGACTTCCATGTACCTTTAAACAATGAAGTCAGTCTCTTTCTTCTGACACTGACACAGCTGGATCACTAAGACTGTTTAGGATTCGAAAGAGTTTCTTTATGGTATAAAAATGTGCATATGAATATGGAAAATTACTGGAGAAATGATAAGAAGCTGCCTTTGACAGTGAAACTTGCTTTGGGTGGGGGGGTGGGGAGTCCTTGCTTTAAACTACATGTATATGTATTAGTTTTTCAGCCTGAGAAAAATATC